CAGCATGCTGAGTTAGGGACATTACTACTCAGAGACCTGGGCTGAGGAGTAGGTATGGCGTGGGGGAGTCAGCGGGCTTGTGGCCACTCACTCGACCAGGCCTCAGAAACAGGACAGACAGCAAGAGCCAGGGGCTGGAAGTTCCCCGTGAAGAGGGCTCCAAGCCTCCCCTGCCGCAGGCCTGGACGGAGGTGGGCTCTGTAGAGCAGAGACACTGTTCCCATGGAGCCAGGCTGCTTCTAAGAGCTGCCTGGTCACACCCAGCCAAGGCCAGGCCAGAGCCGTTAGCCTGTGACCCAGGCAGCTGCTGGCGAAGGCAGGCAGGGGTGCCCGGCACGGCTCTGGGGCCTGGGGCCCACCATCCATCGTCTGTGTGTCATGTGTAGCCGCAGCTGAACTGCTGTCCTGGACCATCTGGAGGCTGTTGAGCACTGGGGAAGGACCCTTAATGCCCCCAAAGATGAGTTAGGTTGAGGGGGGGCGGGGTGGTAGGGACAGTAGGTGAGGACCAGCTGCCCTCAGACAAGACCCTGTTCGTGTCACCTTGTCCTGCCCCAGGTCCCTCCACCAAACATTGGGCAAGACCTGGGTGCCCAGAGTGTTCTGGATGGTTCCCTGCTCCGAGAGCAGCCAGTCTGGGCGGGCAGAGCCTGTACCCGGATGGTGGCCAACAATGATCAGCGTGTGGCAGACGGAGCCAGCGCCCACGGGACCCCAGAGTGGCATCTGGCTCAGCCTAGAGAACCGCGTACCTCCTTGGAGGTGGTGGCAGGAAGCTGACTTTTCACACGGAAAACGGGAACGGTGGTCTGGGCAGGGGTGCTAGCCTGTAGCCACTGGTCTCTCTCTCTGGGCACCCTAGGGCGCACACAGTCGGTGGTCCTGAATCCTGTGTTGAAACCAGTGAACCATTCGTCCATATATGGATGTGGAATCTGTGGCCAGAGAAGAGGTGGCCTAGTCCTGCCCACTATAGGTGGCTGGTGGCAGGGCACTTTGGAAGTCGTGGAGGCCACAGCCAGTAGGAAGGGTGACCAGTACCCAGCATGCAGCAGAACCATCAGGCTCAGAGCTGTGCCCCCGCGTCCCCAGAGAACTGCCACGGGGACTGGCTCCCCTATCACCGCTCTGGGCTTGGGGGATGTTCCCAGCCAGTCCACTCCCTGCCTCCCGGGGACTGCCCTGTCCCCGGCCTCGTATCTCTCAGTCGTGGGCATCTGGCCAGCCAGTTGCCTTGGGGCCTGCCAGGCCTGCGTTTCAGGGGCTGGGGAGCAACCCTCTTTCTGCCTGTTGGTGAGGGCTGCTTGTGGCCATTCGCCGAGCCCCGAGGGGTGATGGGCAGGCTGGGACTGGGGCGACAGGGCAAGGGATGGGCAACTCTAGGGTGGTTTCCGGCAGCTACGTGGGGCAAAGAGCAGGCCTTCTCCATAAGCAGGGCCTGTGCTGTCACCTCACCTCCTCTCCACCAGGGGTGGGCCACGGGGCAGGAACACCAGCCCAACCTGACCTGGGACCGAAACGCTCCCCGCCCCGTGTCTGCAGCAGCCATTTCCTGATGCTCTCCTACACGTCCTTCAAGGCCCATCGCAGAAGGCCCGTCTCCCCTCTATGGGGGAGCCCTTTAGCATCTGCAACCTCCACTGTCCCTCCCACTTAAGACCACTGCACTCGGCCTCCTCCACGGACCGTGAGCCCTGGCACCCACCTCTTCCGGCCAGACCCTCCCCAGGGCCACTGCTGGAGTATTCTCAGCCTTCCCAAAGGACCCTGGGAAGAAGATGGAGGGTTGAGAGGGGGGCTGGGCCACAAGCCTAGGGGGAGGGGAGGAGAAAAAGAGGAAGTGAAGCGGGCAGGAGGAAGGGGGAGGAGACCTGCCGGAGAGGAAGTGAACAGGTTCTTCGCTTGGGAACTTTGTCCTTGCAGGGAGTTTTCAGAGCTGTCACTGACGGCTGCACAGTCCCCGAGCCTTAGCCTGGCTCAGCCAATGGGGACGTCACCTGCTTTCTGGTGCCTTTTTTTTTTTTTTTTTTTTTTTTTTTTTTTTTTTTTTCCTCTCTTGTGGTTCCCCCACCTGGCAAGGCGTCCCAGCAGGGGACATTTACAGCCCTCCTAAAGGACCACTCCCTGGCCCTCTCTAGAGAAATGGCCATGCTGCCAGGTGAGGACCCCAACGCCCACTTCTCAGAGGAAGAAAGCAATGTGTGGCTTAGGGACTTTGGCTCTGGGAGAGTGGAGACACTGGGCCCAGAAGGTGATCAGTGAGGGCGAACTGGTGGAGGAGGGCATGGGACACTCTAGCAAACACACATCCTTTCTACGGATGAGGAAACTGAGGCGGGACTGCAGTCCAGCATGAAGGACACTAGGTGCAGGGCCCCTGGGGAGCCTCACGCTGCCCCTCCCTGGTAGATTGTCCTGTGGAGTGTCCCCAGGGACTGGGTCCAAAGGCTGTTCCAAGGTCTGAATTCTTGGATTCTACCTCCTCCTGGGTGCTTATCTCCTAGGGCCCAAAGAGAACAGCCACCAGCCTTTGGTCACATAACAATTGGTCCTGAGGCCCCTGTCCTGCTGCCCCTTTCCCCTGCCCTCCTCCCCTGCTCCTAGGGTAGTCTCAAAAGGAGATTGTGGACCTTGGGATTCCTGAGGGACTGGGCTTGGGTTTCCTGTGCCTCCTGCCCGACTTTTCCTATGCCTCAGGGCCAGCTCTTTGGGATGCCCCCTCCAGGAAGCCTGCCACGATTGCCTCCTTCCTCTACCCTATCAACCGTAGCTTTCCTGCTCAGGGGAAAGAAACAACCCAGCCAGGGATCACACAGCTAGGGCACAGCCAGGAGCCAAACCTCCTGCATCACAGTGCTCTTGCCTCCAATGCACCAGCACCAACCGGCCAGGCCCTCTTCCAGAGTGGAACAG